GGGTACTGTCATTGCCTCATTAGCGGCGGAACGCCTGCATTTTCTCACATTTCTTTTTGTTTATTTTCTTGCGAAAAGTAGAGCGCGGGATAATTAGCGAGCGCCCGAGCCCGCCCCCGCGTCTATTTCCCGCGCAGACATCGCGACAACGCGTGCGCTCGCACCCGCCGCGCCGCGCGCTCGCTGCACCCGCCGCCGCTATGACAGCTGTCGTTCGCGTGCCCCCCATTTATTGCGGTATTTTTAGCTGCCATGGCGATATCCGGAGGCGATTCTAATATGTTCTTGTTGACACCATCATTAATCTTGTTAGTATCATTACCGTTCGAGGTGAGGTCAGAGACCAGGTGGGTCAGATGTCGGTCGACCGTGGACTTTGGAACAAGACAATACTCTTTCATATTTCTAATCAAATTAAAGATGTAAATGCATTTACAGCAAGCGGGAGTAGAATGGATAAAATATTTCCCCCGGTGCGAGATGAGAGAATTTTTTTCTTCTTTTTAAGAGACGTTTTCTTCAGAGACACTTCCTTGATAGCTTGCCGATATCGTTTCAATTTCTTAATAATACTTTTTTCCGTGGTTAAGTTTTTCCTTAAGAAATTTGAAAAAACTTCGGCAATGCAATTGATCTGCTGTTTATCCAGCTGTAATATAAAGCCGGAACGTCGTTTTGGCTTTAGTGAACAGATAAACGATAGCACATCAACAAATCGAGGTGTGAGGGGCTGCCTTGTCATGGTGCAGGCTGCATGTCATCAATCGTAATGTATGAATTGAATTTGTCGGGATATCCAATCCAGCGAACAAGATATTCTCTCTGCTTTTTATTTCGTTCCACCTCGATGACAAACCTTGGACTTCTTCGCCGCTTAAATCTTCCAGATAATACCCGACTATGTTCTGACGATTGTCAATCTGTCGAATTTTAAATATCTCCTCCGTATTTTGTATTTCATATCCCTTGCGAAATGCGTCGGTACGAGAGCGCGCTGCGATGCGCACAGTGTCCCCAACCTTTATATTCTGATTGCTAGCATGCGATCGGTCCTTTTTATATGCACATTCAATGAACGAGCATACATTTGTCGAAAGAGACGTTGACACTGCGCCCGCGTGTAATGGCGGTGCACGTCCATTGGCGCGGCGCCTTTCAAACCCGCGTGCGCGCGCTCATTATAGGCTAAAACAATATCCGGGAGAACGTCGATATACCTCAGCGTATCTTTTAAGGTTAAATATTTATATATGCGTTCCTTGAGGGTTCTGATGTGTCTCTCTGCAATGCTAGCCTTTATTTCCTTCGAATGCGTGGTATACCACTGCATCTTATGTTCGCGCAGTAAGCCGTTCACTGTATTATTTACAAACTCTCGCCCTGCATCGGTGAAGAGGTGAGTTAAACTTTAGCATCCTCAGTATTTAACACCGATTTTAGTGCGCTCGCAACCTCCGTCTTGTTTTTACTCTTTAAGGGTCTTACTTGCATATAACGACTAAACACATCTACACACACGAGCAAATAGTTGGTTTTATCGTTTTGTCTTGATAAGTTTCGCATGTCTGCCAGATCACACGTTAAGATTTTGCGAGGTCCTATAGCCATTGTTTGGCGACGCGGGAATTTTTTGCGAGTATGTCTGTGAAGAGTATACACACGCTGTGATGACAAAGCATTTTTCACATCCGATTGTGTAATATTATCCTTTCCTAATTGCGTGCGAGCGGCGTCTAACAGCGCTTGTATTCCACCTAAGCTGTGGGGCTTTGTATAGTCTTCATACAAGTCCTTTAGAACTTGCATGGTTCTGTCGGTGATCACCATTGGTAGACAAGCTGATGTGGAAAATATTCACAGAGGATATTACTGCGAAACTGCAGTTTATCTGGAGTTTCACAACCGAGGTCTATGAGTAAATAACCGCGAGATTTCGAGAGAACAACCTTTTTATATAACTCCAAAAACCGCTTGGCTTCACTCTTGCCATATAACTGCCTACCGAGGCATTCTAACTGTCCGAGATCTCTCTGTTTTAGCAAAATAAAATGAGAGGTATTTAGTGAAATGTTGCGGCTGTGCTTCCTTTCATAAATACATTTTGAACGAGGAGTACACAGATATGTTTTCGTGTCGTCCCTTTGTAAAGATATTACTTACAATGTCATTATTAGCCGCTTCTATAAAGCAATCATCCAGTATATATAATATGCGGTCATTCGGTTTTGTCTTATGATTGATGGGATCTATAATGTCTTTGTTAACAATAAGTTTGTCAGATAAAGAGGTTTCCTTTTCTAGCGGATGAGATTCACTCCCGCATACAATTATACAATCAAACTGTTTCTGATAGTGCACAACAATTTTTGTGGCGAGATGCGTCTTTCCCGAATTAGTGACTCCTGCAATTATTATTCTTGCGGGGTGAGCAAAGAGATCCAGCAAGTTCTCCTTAAAACAGGAGTATGGAGTACTGTGCGACATGTTGAAGGACACAAATAAAAATGACACTTAAATTTTAGACATCGCCTATTTTATTGACTACAATATACAGAAAATATTATGTACATGTGTTAAGTATAGCCATTTTAAATAAAGTCATCATCACTATTTTCCTCTGCTTCCTCGATGAAGGGGTTCCCAGTTTGTGTTTTTCTGCGCTTTCGCGGTCTTGGGTTGCCAGATCGTTGCCTCCTGATGTTATTATTATAGTTGTTGTGTACAACAGACGGAAAGTGAAGGTGGCGGAGATACTCTCGTTTTCTCCATAGATGGCTTAATCTTTCCTCTCCTGTTTGTTGTTGTTGTTGTTACCATGGTCTCGGACGCGCTCGCGCCGGTTGCCACATCGCGCACGAATTCTCCCCTCGTTTCCTCCTCCCCTCTTCGCTCTCTGCCGCCTCGGAAAGGTGTTTAATGTCTGGATGACCATATGCTAGCGATTTATAGGCATTTACATACCAACGTTTATCATCGTATAATGACAGCCCGCGCTTTTTCATTTGCGTGGTCATCATTTGACCTCCAACGTTGGTAATGCTCACCTGTTTAAAGAAATGCACTTCTTTTTCATGAAGAATGCGACGGAAATTGTCGTGTTTTAGCCTCCTCTTCTCAGCCCGACAAATTCCCTTTGCACCCGCGGATGTTTGATCGCTATTTAGGAGCAAGGAATAAGTCTTGGGCTTTAGGCAAATTGCCTCTTTTATCGGAATCTCCCCTGTTTCAGATTTTAATAATCCAAGTTTGCCCTTGACAGACTGGTTGTATAATGGATGGTCATGGCTAAAATTAGAAGTGTCTATCCACTCTTTCAAAGGAGATAAGGACAATTCTTTATAAATGTCATCTGTCTCCACAGAGAGGATATAGCTGTCGGTGTCGGAGTAACAGAGCTGCACACGATCTCCGTAATGAGTCTTTAAAACTTTATAATAAAAGTTATACAATTTCAATTTAGCCAGCTCCAAGATGGTAAATCCAACATACTGCGGATAAGCCATACTAACAGTTTTTGCCCTTGAAATGGTTATCACTCTGTTTGGAGCTAAGGGGATGAATCTTTTGAAGAATGGGCTTCGAATCTTTTTGAGAAAAGAAGAAGCATTGCACACCATGCTAGCACGTTCTAGTCTTTTTAGAGGGTTCATTAAACACCGCCCAAAGACACTGTTTGAAAGCGTCTTGAAGCACAACTGTTGTGCTTTATCGGTGGCTTCCCTGCGCGCCTTAATATTTTCGTGAATAAAAGGCGATAAAAATTCACGTTGGGAGAATTCGTACACATCGCTTACTCGCTCCACCTCCACCCCCAAGTCAATTAAAAGCTGCAAATGTTTCAGTAAAATGAGGTGGTCCTTCTGCGGAAGATGTGAAGCCACAAGCTTTTGGTTTTTTGCGTGGTAAACGCCTGTTCTGCGATGCTAGAAGTTGTTTGTTATAAGGGATATGTCCTGATTTCTTATGTTCATGTGATGAATGAGGAGGGGCAAGTCGTCTGTCTTCCTCGCAACTTCGGGTGGAACTCTGAGATCAGCCACTACCCAGTGCCCAATATCACCGCTTTCGTCGTGGTTGGTTAACCCCGATGCAATGAACTCGGACTTTTCACGGGCGGTAATTTCCGGATATTGCCGTATGGTAATTTCTCAGACATTACCGTGGCATACAAGCTGTTGAAATCAAGGTAGAGTATGTAGGTGCTACTTTCCTTTTGTGGGTCATGGTGCGGATTAACAAGGGAGTTCTTTGCTACCGTGAGAGGGCGAACACATGTTGTCAGTCCCCTCTCACAGATTGCTCAATTTTGCGGGCTAATTCTGGATCGGATATAAGCTCAAGGTTTGTTTTTGTCATTTTTAGGAATGCATCGTATGCATATCCGGGAAGACTGACATAGTTAACTATATCCAGATCGTACTTTTCAGCAAGCATAGACCTCCACTCTGTAATCACATCGGCTAGCAAACCCACATCAGTCCTCAGGTAGCACTCTAAATAATCACCTAAAGTACGACACCCGGCTGCATTCCAGACTTTTAGTGCATGAGCATACTCCTCCTCCGTAACCGTCTCACCTGTGAGGGAGCTATAAAACTTTTCAATGGGGGGGGCTGGTCTCTTCGAGCTTTTTCAGGTCATCCAAGTACTCATACGGAAAAATACCCTTTCCCGTTAGAAGCAGCGACTGAGCTTCGTCTGGCAAATGACGTAAGATATGCTTGGAATACCTGAGTGAGCGGCTGCTTTCAATATGAGTTTTGGCGAGAGAGCTTAGGCTTGCGTTCATAAAAGCTAAGCTATCGAGGAATTTCAGGTTGTTTAGTTCCACAGAGTGATATCGAAGCCCTTGCTTCGTAAGAATTTTGATTTTTGTGTTAACTTGCATTTCTTTCAGAATGAGCCGAGGTCGTAAGAGTGATTATGAGCCAGACAGGGGATAGCTGTGCGATGATTTTTCATCTGGAGGTTACAGCGAGCGCAATAAGCACCAATGTAGTTCATCCGATCTTTAGTATGGTCGTGGTGTCTGTGCTTTTGTTGATGTGTGGGAATTTTTGGTTGCACATTTCGCACATTTCGGCCTTCTTAAAAGCTTCTTCATCTTCGTTGGACATGTGGAGAGGATGATAAGGCATGTTTTTTACAATGTCCGCCCATTTGTTAGACAGATTCTCAACAAAGTGCGTGGCAGCGTCGCACCCTGATATAGAAAACTATCTACTACTTCACCTTGTCTGTCTATTATGATATAGCTGTAGGCACAGGCTTTGTGCTGTGCTATACATCTCTCCCCTCCACCAGTCTTGTCCATGAAGGCTTCAAAGTCGTAGATACACATGTGTGATGGTGCAAATGCTTTCCCATAATTCACGAAGGCGAGTTTACTCCCCTGCAACGGGTAAGTGATCTTTGTTGGCATCTCACATCCTGACATGTGAGATTCGGCTGATCTCTGATCGGGAAACGAAGAGAAACATGTGCGACAAAAGTGCTTGTGAACGTTCCTGCCTCTCATGGTAAATACGTCCATGTACTTATTAAAGTCTGTTATTAGACAGGCGTGCTCATTTTTAAGAAGAAGTAGGTGAAGACGCAGTCGCTCCTTGCTGTCTTCTCTTCCTTTTCTCACCTGTAATATGGCATATTTTTCGTGAATATGTTCGTTTTTTCAAGGGTATAGACATAAATAGAGAGACTATTGTCTCTCTCTAATTCTCCCAATGTTTCCCAGCTGGTGGGGAGTTTTTCCGCGTCATGTTTAATAAGGCGCGCACATTTAGCCGGAGTGTTGACTGCTCTGTGTAGATTATTTTTTGAGCGTCCAGCTGCTAGCCATTTTCCGGCCGCGAGGGATCGTATGACACAGTCTGTGTTACCTGTTGGGTTGAAGATATAATGACCCCCTCGAACATCTTCAGGATATGCCACATGTCGTCCAATTGCTTGGGGAACTAGAAGATGTGATATCGTAATGTCGTGAGCATTAATGGATTCAAGATCGAGTCCGCTTCCCTCATCTGATAACCACTCTTCTAGTTTAGCTTCTGCTTCCTCTGCCCATCCACATACAGCTCTTCTACACTCGTCTTCGCTAGATATTGCATAACTGCACAGTGTGATATCTTTTTCAATATGCGTGACATTGCCGGTAGTGAAGTCTATCTTGGAGAGGGTAATATTAAACCCTGTAAATGATTTCGTGGAAGGGGGAGGGCATCCGAGTGTGGAGCGGTGAATTTGTAAGACATCTGTAAAATAATCTTGATTTCTGCGCAGGTAATCAGACGGAGATGGCTGGTCTTGGTTAGGAATGCTGAAGCCGAGCCTTACGGCTGCCCCTTGAAATAATTCCCCCCTGGAGATAATATGCGGCGTCTCTACAATATTATCTTCTTCTTCTTCTTTATCACTAATAACATCACTGTCACTTTCATAATATTTTCTATTCACACGAGCACGCGATATTTCCGGTTGTGCTGTAATAGACCTGGACGGCCCGGGTTGGGGCGAGAGAATCCGCGATGGTCCCGGTTGCGGTGTAATAGACCTGGACGGACCGGGTAGGGGTGAGAGGGGGCGAGTCGAGACTTGTTGTATGGGAAGGTCCTGCTGTAGGTTCCCTGCAAGACATAACATAAACACAGTTATTACACAATAATGCGAGGAGGGGGTTATACAACATTCACTCCTCAAACCGTCTTTGTGAGAACTTGCCTGGTGTGGTATGTGACGATCGGTGAGTGGCGATCTTAGAACCTTTAGACCCCTTTCCAGCACCTGCTGTAAGGAATTAAGTATATGGTTAATCATTTGCCGCATGGGCAGACGTCTTTCAGGCGTATTCTGCTGTAGGTCTTAACTATCTTTCAATAATTTTCATGTCTACCCATACTTTAATACTCAGATTTCACTGTGTATGAATTAGCTTACCTCGAATGCATTGTTGACGGTGGTAATGCAGCCTTGCTGAGGGAATGTTGCAAACCACAGCAAGCAAAGGTGTTGGACAGCTTCTTCACAGAGCTGGCAGTGAGCTTGATGTTAGCCATTGTGAGTGCTATCACAGGGGGCAAGATGTACTAATGTTTAGTGGTCGAGTTTCCACCCTTTTTATATCGCGGGGAATGCCACGGGCGACAGATGTGTGCATTTCTATTTGACGTTTTATAATGAATTCTATTAAATCATTTTTGTGTTTATACAAGAGGAATATAAAAAAAAAATGATAATTAGTATAGAGGTGTTTATAATCTTTTTCATTAAATTTAGATTCGTATATCTAAGATGCTTTGAGAGTGCTGAAACACAGCAAGGAAGGAAAAGTAATTATTTAATCGATATCTCCCAGACTCTGCAGTTGACCTGACATCTGTTCAGGATGCAGCTGACCTGTGTTTGAGCAGGCCTTCCTTTAATTATTAACGGCGTCATTAGTGAAAGGGGTGATCAGTGAGACGCTTCTTAACTATCACTAGCTAGAGGGCTTTTAATGATGGGAAAATAAAGACATATTGAGTACAACGAATTTTATACTCCTTTCCGCTGAACTCTATACTTATAAACGAGGTGCTTTTCGATTGTGGGGAACAAACTGTGAATATCTGATTAATTAGTGTCTGTGCCTGACTTCTGAGGGGATAACTTTATTATTGAGATGTTTTAAGACAATGTAGGCCATCCCACATGTTCAAACATGACGAATAGATGCTGTTATTGATTTCGCTGACCTGACTCACATCGGTAATGGCTTAATTTTGCGCGTGACCTGGAGGGCGGTGGAATGAAGGGGTGGGGGACTTGGGTGGTTGGGGGACACCTGTTTGGTGTGCGTATTATTCCCCATTAGCCACGGTTTGATTTCCCGTAATCAATTATGATAATTACTTCCGGAAGTCATTAGGTCACTTCCTGTTATGACACGTCAGGTATGTGCATAGCGGGATAAGAGGGTAGTCATAGGGTGAGGCTGGTGAGTCCAAGGTGTTTTTGGGTGAGGGGGTTGGGGTGGTGGAACCTGTGACACCTGCTCTTAGGATGATAGTTTGACCTGCGGCAGCAGGATCCATGTTTGTTTGTTGTTCCTCTTCTTCTCTTCTTCTTCTTCTTCTTCTTCTTCTCCTCTTTCTCGTATTCTCCTTATTATTATTATTATTATTATTGTTGTTTTGGAGAGGAAAGGAATGGGGGGGCACCCTTCAGGTGTGCGTGTTCTCCATCATTAGTTACGGCTATTGATTCCCGTATCGATTACGGTAATTACTTCCGGAAGTCATTAGGGCACTTCCTGTTATGACACGTTAGGTACATAGGGGGGGACCCATGGGGGTGAGGCTGCTGTGTCCAAGGTGTTTTTGGGTGAGGGGTTGGGGTATTGGAACCTGTGACACCTGCTCTTAGGATGATAGTTTGACCTGCGGCAACAGGATCCATGTTTGTTTGTTGTTCCTCTTCTTCTTCTTCTTCTTCTTCTTCTCTTCCTCTTTCTCGTATTCTCATTATTATTATTGTTGTTTTGGAGAGGAAAGGGAGGGGGGGCACCCCTTCAGGTGTGCGTGTTCTCCATCATTAGTCAAGGTTACTGATTTCCCGTAATCGATTACGGTAATTACTTCCGGAAGTCATTAGGTCACTTCCTGTTATGACACGTTAGGTACATAGGGGGGGACCCATGGGGGTGAGGCTATTCTGTCCATACACTACTTATATATAATATATATATATATATATAATATATATATATATATATACGTGTGTGTGTGTGTGTGTTTTATATATATGGTTAATGTCATTCGCTTATCGTTTTCAATTTCATTAGCATACCTTGCTTCATTCACTGCGTTTCCCAACAGAAAACCAGAGTGCTTATTTTCATTATAGTAAACTTCTGTCGTTAATGTTCTGTCTATACACCGTACCCTTTGCAGTTTGCATATTTGCATAGCTAATAATATCCTTGGTATTTTTGTATTTCTGTCAAGTGGCTAATACATCCTTCTCATACTTTAACAGAACCTTTCTTCAAATTACAATTTGACTTCAAATACTAAATGTATGAGATAGATTCTTCAAATAATTATCACCCATATTTTCCAAAATTAGTGAAGCCTTCTCTTTTGTACATTTTCTCTCTTAATTGGATCTTTACTACTAATATTCACATTTTCATCAGGATTAGGCTTAAATCCTGCAGCTCGACCCATGAAAAAATTCGTGTCAAGGTGTTGGTTAAATTAGGTTCTTTACTTAGAAAAGTCAAAGATCTGGAATGAACACAGGCATCTACTTCAATTAAAGCCGTCTCAAGTTCACCACATAAGGCCTCTTTTTTATTTAGTAAAATACGGGAAACATAACGCGTTAGAATTTTCACAACACTGCCGATCAGACGTCATTCTCTTCAAGGATTCTGATTGGCTAGTGAGTGTGCTGCCAGGCGTTAATGAGATATGGAAAAACTATCGTTAAGGACAGTCATAAATATTTTGGAGGAAGAGAGAGAGAGAGAGAGAGAGAGAGAGAGAGAGAGAGAGAGAGAGAGAGAGAGAGAGAGAGAGAGAGAGAGAGAGAGAGAGAGAGAGAGAGAGAGAGAGAGAGAGACCTTGATGTGACCTTGATCCACTATAAGAGGAGCAGAGCTAAGGCCAGGTGAGTGCTAAAGGAGGCTACACGGACGTCACATCGTAGAACGTGATCAACATGACTTCGACTTTGGACTTCGACTGCCGTGCTCTTTTCGACCTTGGCGACTTCGGACTCTTCTACTGAAGATCCATGACTCATCACCGGCGTCTGGTTCGGTTTCAAGACGCTCGAGGATGTCCTGTCACACTTACATGCGTCGATCCTTCTGGTCATCGTTCAGCGGTTTTGGCACCATCTTTGCGCAGACTTTCCGCATGGCCAAATCTTCCGCGAGAACTTCCAGCTGTCCCGATTAATGCCCAGCTCATTTGCCATCAGTTGAATAGTCATCACCGTCTGCCTGACGTGTTCAACGATGACCTCAGTCCCGGTTGTTGAGGGCCTTTCGCTCCTGGGGTCATCTTCCACATTCTTTTAACCTCGCATCATTCATAAATACGTTAGCGTGACATTGGCACATCTCCATACACCTGTTGTAGCGAGTGTATGGAGATAACCGTACCAAAAAAATCGTTTGTTCATTGCTTTGTGCTCATTGCTGACGACCTGAAACATA